CTCAGGAGGCTGAGGCAGGAGAATTGCCTGAACCCAGGAGGCGGAGGTTGCAGTGAGCCGAGATCGCGCCATTGCACTCCAGCCTGGGTAACAAGAGTGAAACTCCGTCTCAAAAAAAAAAAGAAAGGATCATGGGAGACTTAAATTTGGGTTCGTAAGAGGTAGTAAACTGTATCCAGGCACACAAAGCCTCCAACTCTCCTTTTTTAGTGCCTCACTTTTAAAACATGAAGAGATAATTAAGGATTATCTCTTGAAGTTCTAGCCTGAAACAGAGAAACCAAAACTATAGGAAATAAAAATGGGACTCTGAAGAAACAGACAAAGCAGGGAACAAATGAAAACTATAATTAATATACTCAGAGGCTAAAGAAAAGTCATTGCTCCCATGAAACCAGAACAGTATGCTATTTTTAACAGTGGTGGGGAGGGAAGCAAAACAAGACAGAGCACTTGGAAATTATTAAAGTATAAATTGAAGAATCCAGCACTTTTTGTTTTTCTTACATACAAACTATACCTTAGGGTAACCAAATAGTTGATGAGGGGGAAGCTTCCTTTACAAAAAAATTTAGCTGATAAATGTTGAAGGGAAAACTGGATTGAAATAGCACCATTTCCCAACCCCTAATGATATAATAGGGAATATCCAGTTTTCCAGGTTGCCTCATAAACGCTTTTACACCCATGATCCAAACAAGGTCCATATATTACATTTGGATAATATATCTCTTAAGTCTCTTTTACACTCCGGACTCTCCAAGTAATGATCCTTTTCACCCAAGCAATGATCCTATAATGGAATATTATAAAACCATTAAAAATGTATAGCTATGTACTTCCAGAAATAGTTTGATGCCAGTTATCAGTGAATGAAATTGAATAGGCAATTCACAGAGAAGTAGAATCACCAGTAAATGTAAAACATGCTCAAGCACACTAGTGATCTGACAAAAGCAAATTAGAAGTGGTGGCCGGACGTGATGGCTTACGCTGTAATCCCAGCATTTTGGGAGGCCAAGGTAGGAGGATCATGAGGTCAGGAGTTTAAGACCAGCCTGATCAACATGGTAAAACGCCATCTCTACTAAAAATACAAAAATTAGCCAGTCGTGGCAGTTCGTGCCCGTAACCCCAGCTATTCAGGAGGCTGAGACAGGAGAATCACTTGAACCCAGAAGGCAGAGGTTGCAGTGAGCCAAGATTGTGCCATTGCACTCCAGCCTGGGTGACACAGTGGACTCCATCTCAAAATAAAAAATAAAAAAATAAGAAGTGGTTTCACACCTGAAATCCCAGAACTTTGGGAGGCTGAGATGGGTGGATCAAGACCAGAGTGACTAAAATGGTGAAGCCCCGAATCTACTAAAAATAGAAAAACTAGCCAGACATGGAGATGTGTGCTTGTAATCCTAGCTACTTGGTAGGCTGAGGCAAGAGAATTGCTTGAACCTGGGGGACGGAGGTTGCAGGGAGCCAAGACTGTGCCACTGCACTCCAGTCTGGGCGACAGGGCAAGGCTGTCTCAAAAAAAAAAAAAAAATTGGTTTCACACACATCTGACAGGCAACAGAAACCAAAATGTCTGATAGTGCCAAGTGTTAGCAAAGATACAGAAAAATAAGAACTCTTTTATACTACTGATGGGAATATAAATCACTGCATTCCTCTGAAAAGCAATGTTACTATATCTAGTTAAGTTTACAAATACATATCCTAAAGCCTGGCATTCTATTTGTAAAATATATATCTTTGAGGAGATCTTACACATGCACTGAATGTTACTGCAGCCATGTTTGTAATACATAATGTGGTAATGAAGAATGGGTAACGGTATATTAATGTGAGAGATACACAGCAGTTAAAAGAATTAGATGCATATGTATATATCCACATGGACAGATCTAAAAAATAACAGGTAAAACAAATAAAATGCAAGATTATATAAGAATTTAACAGTGTGATATTTTGAAATACAGGCCAGGCGCAGTGGCTTAAGCTTGTAATCCCAGCACTTTGGGAGGCCGAGGCGGGTGGATCACGAGGTCAAGAGATCGAGACCATCCTGGTCAACATAGTGAAACCCCGTCTCTACTAAAAATACAAAAAATTAGCTGGGCATGGTGGCACGTGCCTGTAATCCCAGCTACTCGGGAGGCTGAGGCAGGAGAATTGCCTGAACCCAGGAGGCGGAGGTTGCGGTGAGCCGAGATCGCGCCATTGCACTCCAACCTGGGTAACATGAGTGAAACTCCGTCTCAAAAAAAAAAAAAAGAAATACAAAATATGTACTTGGTCTCTGACCCAATTTCCTAACATATAACTCCTAAAATCCTTATAATCTCCAGAGAGATGTCTTTTTGTATGTTAATGAGTAGATTCATTGCTGGCAGCCCCTAGGTAGCTTAAGGATGGGAGCTGGTCATTGGAAAGACCAAAAGCATAATTAGAGGGTCAGGACTTTCAGCATACCCCATATAATCTCCTGGGAGGGGAAAAGGGGCTGAAAGTAAAATTGATCACCAATGGCCAATGGTTTCATACCTACATAGTGATGTCTCCATAAAAACTCAAAAGAAGGTTGAGAGATCTTCCAGATAGCTGAATGTATGGAGGTTCCTGGAGGGTGGCATGCACAGGGAGGGCATGGAAGCTCTGTACCCCTACCCCCATACCTTGCTTTGTGCATCTTTTCATCTATATCCTTCAACCCTAGGGTTTTTTTAGTTTTTATTTTTTTGTTTTTGTTTTTGAGATGGAGTCTTTATTTGTGGCCCAGACTGAATTGCAGCGGCATGATCTCAACTCACTGCAACCTCTGCCTCCTGGGTTCAAGTGATTCTTCTGCCTCGGCTTCCCAAGTAGCTGGGATTACAGGCACCCGCCACCATGGCAATTTTTTTTCTATCTTTAGTAGAGATGGGTTTTCACCATGTTGGCCAGGCTGGTCTTGAACTCCTGACCTCGTGACCTACCCACCTTGGCCTCCCAAAGTTGGGATTACTGGTTATAAACTGGGGTTTCCAACTGGGCATGGTGGCGTGCCCACAATTACAGGCATGAGCCACCGAGCCCAGCCGGGAACCCCAGTTTATAGCCAGTTGGAGACTGTACTGAACACAGAGGATTCATCAGAAATAAAAGACAGTAGCTGAGCAAGGTGGCACATGACTATAATACCAGTGATTCGGAGGCTGAGGCAGGAAGAGAGCTTGCACCCAGGAATTCAAGATCAGTCTGGGCAACACAGCAAGACCCTCATCTGATAAAGAAAAAAAATTATATATATGGTATATAATTGTATATTTTACACACACATACACACACACACATACACATACACACACACACACACACACACACACATGCCAGGCTGGTCAGAAGCACAGATAAAATAACCCAAGGCTTGAGATTGGCCTCAGAAGTTGGGGGGGGAGGCTTGGGGACTGAGCCCTCAACCTGTGGGATCTGACGCTATCTCGAAGTAGACAGTGTTGGAATTAAATTAGATGACACCCAGCTGGTGCCTGATGCAGAACTGACTGCTTGCTCATAGGAAAAACCACTCCCACATTTTTGTTTGTTTTTTTAAATACCTGTTGCCTGGGCTGGAGAGCAGTAGCATGATTCCAGCTTACTGCAACCTTGACCTTCAGGGCTCAAGATTTCCTCCTGCCTCAGCCTCCCAAGTAGCTTGGACTACAGGCATATGCTGCCATGCTCGGCTAATTTTTGTATTTTTTGTAGAGACAGGGCTTCATCATGTTGCTCAGGCTGGTCTCAAACTCCTGGTCTCAAGGAATCCACCTGCCTCAGCCTCCCAAAGTGCTGGGATTATAGGCATTAACCACTGCACCTGGCCTCCCCTACACATTTGGTCACAGAAGTCTTTTTTTTTGGGGGGGTGTAAGTGTGGGGGGGGGTGTATATGTTTCAGGTCTGATGGGTAATGTGCCAATGTTGTAACAAGGTTCAAGGGTGGCACATCTCACACATGTGCATGAACACCCGATCATCATGCTCATGAACTACAAAAGAAGCATGCTGATTGTTTTTGGTGTGAGAGCAGAGGTTCATGGGGTTTTTTCCACTCTTAGGCAATGAGTGGTAAGGGTAAGGCAGTTATAATCTGAGTGATTTTTTTCCAAACACAAAGGTCCTGCCTAGCAGCACTTCTTCCAACCAGACTCTCAGAAGCCTGTTGGGATAGATGGGTTTAAATAATTGGCTATTTTGGGCCAGGCACGGTGGCTCACGCCTGTAATCCCAGCACTTTGGGAGGCCAAGGCTGGAGGATCACATGAGGTCAGGAGTTTGAGACCAGCCTGGCCAATATAGTGAAATCATCTCTATTGAAAATACAAAACTTAGCTGGATGTGATGGTGGGCACCAGTAATACCAGCTACTCAGGAGGCTGAGGCACAAGAATTGCTTGAATCCAGGAGGCAGAGGTTGCAGTGAGCTGAGACTGTGCCACTGCAATCCAACCTGGTGAGAGATTGAGACTCCATCTTAAAAAAAAAAGAAAAAAAAAAAATTGGCTATTTTGGAAACATTCCTCCAGTTGGTTGGGGGTCCCATGTAGTGTAATGAAAAATCAAGAAGAGCAGCTGAATCCAGGATGGGTCCTGACTTCCAAACTTCCCTTGAAGCTCCAACCACTAACCACTTCCTAACTACCCTCCACCTGAGCATGGTTATCATTCAACTGCACTGGATGAACAGCGAAAGATGTCTAAGATCATTGATGAATTAAAAAGAATATGAAGTTATCAAATACTTCATGTACTATAAGCCCATTCCATTTAAAATATGTTAATATATAAAAATGCATCTGAAAGAATATATGTCGCTATTTTTTTTTATATGTCCAGTTATTAATAGTAAGTTCCCCCTAACAGAAAGGATTCAGGAAGCACTTTTGTACTGCTTGATGGATTGATGATGATGTTTTAAAATGAGCATATACCCAGGCATTGCAGCACATACCTGTAATCCCAGATACTTGGGAGACTTGAGGCAGGAGGACTGCTTGAGCCCAGGAGTTCAAGTTTAGCCTGAGCAGCAAGAAAGACCCTTGTCTCAGCCGGCTGCGGTAGTTACACCTGTAATCCCAGCACTTTGGGAGGCTGAGGCAGGCAGATCACCTGAGGTCGGGAGTTCCAGACCAGCCTGACCAACATGAAGAAACCCCATCTCTACTAAAAATACAAAAAATTAACCAGGCGTGGTGGCACATGCCTGTAATCCCAGCTACTTGGGAGGCTGAGGCAGGAGAGTTGCTTGAACCCAGGAGGTAGAGGTTGCAATGGGCCAAGATCACACCACTGCACTCCAGCCTGGGCAACAAGAGCGAAACTCTGTCTCAAAAAAAAAAAGAGAGACCCTTGTCTCAAAAACAATACATAAAAAAATAAAGACAGCATATATTTTGTCTGTAAACAGGAAAAATAAAAAAACCAATAAAGCCATTAAGTGAAGTAATAGCCAAACATGAACAACACATGCAGAAAAATTTTACTCACTGCCCAAAAGTATCATCCATAAATGTGTAGTCAAATATGACCATTTACTCAACATGTGCTTCATATTCTTGCATAAAGAATATAAATAGAGATCTATTTTATATTCCTTATTAGACTTTGTGACTAATCATCACAACAAACAGAGTTTATTTTGAACTGTCTTATCCAAAAATACAACAAAGAAGAAAAGAAACTCACTGGACTATGAATGAGGTAACCAAGCGAACTGATTACCACAATGGCATAGCCTGAAAGTGTACTACTGGCTAGATATCTCTTATTCAAAATGCTTGGTACCAGAAATGTTTTGAATGTCTGTTTTTGTTTGGTTTTGTTTTTGGATTTTGAAATGTCTACATATATATAATCAGATATCTTGAAGATGAGACCCAAGTCTAAACATAAAATTTATTTAAGTTTAATATACCCTTAATACACAAGCCAGAAGGCAATTTGATACAATGTTTTCAATCATTTTATGCATCAAAGTTGTACACTGAACCATCAGAAAGCAAAGTTGCCACCACTACCTGATTACCTTGGCCACCAATGTGGACAACCTGTGGTGGTTAGCCATCACAATTCCTGACCCTAAATTTATATTCTACCAACAAGCAATCATTTTCTTGTATTTATTCACACATATAAGTACTTAACACTAAAAGAACATGATGTGGGCTGGGCGCAGTGTCTCATGCCTGTAATCTCAGCACTTTGGGAGGTCGAGGTGGGCAGATCACGAGGACAGGAGATCAAGACCGTTCTGGTTAACATGGTGAAACCCCATCTCTACTAAAAATACAAAAATTAACCAGGTATGGCAGAGCGTGCCTGTAGTCCCAGCTACTCAGGAGATTGAGACAGGGGAATCACTTGAACCTGGGAGGCGGAGGCTGTAGTAAGCCAAGATCATGTCACTGTACTCCAGACTGGATGACAGAGCGAGACTCCGTCTCAAAAAAA